CCCCCCCCCAGTGCTAACTTTTAGAGCAGGCAGGAAAGAGCAGACAGGGATGTATTTCACCAGGCAGGAGCATCTTTAAGAGTTAGGAGAGAGGAGGTAACTTACCTCGCCGGGACGCACATGGAGGGGTTATTTTTGCTTTCTGCCGCACTTGGGTTGCTGTGTCCTTTGCTTGTGACACTCCAGGACCTGAATGGTGGCACCGCTGTGTGACACCCAGTATTAGCGAGGCTGCTGGAGCTGTCCCTCCCACGGTAGGAGGGGCCACACGGGGCTTAATGAATTCGGTCCCCAAGGCTGGAAAAATTAAAATCTCATCATGGGACGTGGGCAGCTGCTCACCGCATGGCTCTGGGAGATGCCGGGGACTCGCAGGTGAACCTGGGTTTGATTCCTCCCTTGCCCACCCAGAACAGGAGAGGCTGGTATTCAACTCCCGCCTCGGCAGAATTAGGTGTCCAAAGGATGGGGTCCGAGGAAATATCCCAAAGGAGATTTGGGCAAGACGTGTTGTCGCTGACACTCAGAATTAAAACTCCCGAACCTCCTCCAGGGAAATGTTTCCCACGGCTGTAAGCCCCAGGCAGGAATCCACTGCACCAGATTTCTGTGCAACCCTGGATGCAAAAACTGCTTACTTTACTTATTTTTTGCACAGTTTTGGGCTTTAATATCTAAATCCTATTAGAGACATAACTTCCTTTGGAGGGGGAGAGGGGGCAGGTCAGCACAGCAAAAGCAGTTTGTGCAGTTGTATTTTGTAATCTCCCATGTGCCCGGGACTTTCAGAGAGGCATCTGTGAAGTTTCTCGGGCTTCGTGGAGCTCTGCCTGCTCCTAAAAAGCTCTTCGCTGGATGAAGGGCAAAAGAAACACCCCCTCCAGCCCCGGAGGGCTCTCTGAAACACCACTGCCATAGTTTTTTCACCCCTGTCGTCTCTGATGTTGGGGTTTTTCTTGTTGGATGAAAAGACGGATCAGAGGGTCCCTCAAAAGCAAAATCAGCAAACTGCCCTTGCAAACAGAGAGGGGAAGAACAGGACAGAAATGGTGGCCCAGCAGTTTTTGGGCAGCTCACATTACAAAGACAAACTTCTAATTAGAAGATGAACTACAGAGATGACAGCCTGGTTCACTCTGAAACCTAATGACAAGTAGAAGGCATATGAAAGTTCCACTTTAAAAGCAGTATTGCTAATCCTTACTTAGCACTACATCCTAAAATAGCATCATCTCCCTTTGGAACTGAAATATCAAATAAATTAGGGAACCTCAAGGTATGAAGGCAGAAGCAGCTGTTTTTATTGCTGATCATCTTCCAGCTAATGCTCAGCTGGCTGGAGTAAAGAGGCATGGGATCATGTGTGAGCCTCTAGAAATATTACTTGCTTTATGGAAACCTGGAAACCTGATAAATAGGGCAGGAAAGGCTGATGGCACTGATGAGATGTAGGGAGCAGCACCAGCAGCTTTTCCAGGCACCTTGCAGTTTTAATTTCCTGACTTGATCCACTGGATTTTCCTCCTTATATATCTGTGGCCATGTTGAGCCCAACTTCATCACGGGACCATGCTAAGATCCTGAAGGTCCATGGCCAGGGGAGGCATGGCATGGGGGCAGCCTGGCAAGTTTAAGGAGCAGTGGAGAGCCCAGAGAGCCCCACAGCTTTGCTCTGCCTTTGAAGCCAGCGGCAAGGTCAGCACTCCCTGAAATATCTTCTGAAGGGGCTTCACCATCATCCTTGCCCGGGCTGCCTTTCTTCCAGCTGCTGCATCCTCATGGCGTGGGTGGACTCCAAGGGGTACGTGGGGGATAAGGGGACAGGGTTGAACAACATCATCAGTGCCAAAAAGCTCCCTGCAGTGGAGGGAAGAGCCCTGAAAAAGGAAAAAGGTCATTTAAAACACAACCATAGCCCTACCTCCTAACAAGCGAAGAAACCCCTAAATATCCCTGTTCTCTGCCCTAAAATAACACCATGGGTTTGCTTTCTTGTGGGTACAGAGAAGCAAAGCCTTCATTGCCACGGTTTGCTCTTCGAACACCTGACAAAGGATTCACTGGCCGGGCAGAGGCTTCAGTATCTTCAGCTCAGAGTTCACCCGCTTATCTCAATCGCAAAATCCGCGCCCAGCGTCCCAGCCGGTGTCCTAGCCCTGCCAGCAGCTATCAATGAAGGCATGCGAGGATCTGCTGGAGCCCTGCTGCCAGCAAGCCCGGCCTTGGAGTTTATGAGCCCATAAAGAAAATGCCTGCGAGGACCCGGTGCCGTACAAACCCACCCCGGGGATATCAGTGGGGCAGGCCAGCCTTGAACCCGGGTGAGTTTTGCCTCTGTTTGTGTCAGGAGAAGATAAAACCAAGGGGAAAATGTCACAAATGGGGAGGGGATGGACGACGGTCTCCCTGCCCAGCTGCCAGCCAGGACATGGAGTATTTTGTTGGGAAATACATACGTTCACGTCCTCCCACCCTATGTCCTACCCCGTTTGGGACATTTGTCCTTGCAATGCCCTGCCTTGGCAGCATGAAGGGCCGGTGTGCGTCCCCCTCCCCGGGCTGTGCTTGCATGGCGTTCCCCCCCGCTGCATAGTTGCACAATGAGCTGGTGCAGAGCCTTGAGAGCAGGTGACTCACGCAGGACCCCGCAAGATTAATTACAGAAACAGCACCATTTATGGTGTTGGCGTTTCCAGGAATGATAAGGGAGGTGGAGGGAGAAGGAGGAGGTGACCCGAAGTGATCCAAACTTCAACCCTTGCTCTCCCGGGGGATGGCAGTGTGCTGGCACGGAGCTCGTGGCCACGGGCGAGCAGCGTCCGCCTCTTGCAGTGGGCGGTATCGCACCGAAAAGCAGAAGCATCAGTCAGTGGAGGCACAGAAGATGGGCTGGGGGGAGAAAAGGACCTTGGATGGCTCCAAGCCTCACCATAAGAAAGATCCCTCCAGACCTGCAACGTGTGGCATGTCCAAGTATAAAGATGCTGACAGCCAGCTTCACGCTGAGCCCTGGGGGACGAGGTTGCAGGGGGGTCTCTCTCCCCATCTCCCAGCCTGAACCCTTTGATGCACGGCTCTGAAACATCAAAAATCAGGGAGAGCATCAGCCCCCTGAAGCATCGGTGCAGGAAAACTCAGGGAAAAGCAGAGGCACTGCGCAAACGGGGAGCAGCAGCCTGTGCACAGTGCTGGCAAGCTTCCAGGGAAGCCAGGGCCTGACCCTGCTCCTGGATCCCAGGATATCTCCTTCACTGCCATTTCTCAGGCTGCTTGGATTGATCAGAGTTATTTTGAAGCCCACTTGCTCCCAAGAAATGCTGCCGTCCCTTCCCGAGTGACAGCAGTGGCTGTGAATAATGGTGTAAAGCCCATCGAGACGTGCCAAAGACCCGGCAGTGTGTTCTGGAGCGTGCGACCCACCAGGTGCAAAACGTACCCCAAGCGTCAGAATTTAAACTCAGCAAATCAAATTCAGGCAGCCAAAATTGTCAGGTGGCTACTGCTGAGTGCTGAGGCTCAGAGAGGGGCTCTGAGCATCTTTTCTGAGTGAGCTGCATCCCTCGGGTGGGCAGCGAGAAGGGACCAGATGGATTCATAGAATCATAGAATCACAGAATCGTTAAGGTTGGAAAAGACCCTTAAGATCATCGAGTCCAACCGTTAGCCTGT